AAAGTACTTTAAACCGTATAAATAATGTAAAATTAAATTGATTTAAACAGCCAATCATACGAATGTCTTCCTATGAGTAACTTACCCGGCCTATATGTAAGCTAGAAAAAGCTTTAAAACCAGCCGAATCACGCAAACATATGTTGATCAACTTACATAACTGATAACTTACAAATAATTTATGTAAGTTACAATAAAACTTACATTAGTAAAATAAATGTAACTTACATGTAAGTTAACAACCCTATTATAGACCTATTCAACCCCTAACCAACACTTACCCTGATTTTTATTATATAATCAAAATTATATGAACGCACCTTGCTTTAGCCATCCCCTAAAAAAGGAAATTTAATTTTGTAAAAAAAAACAAAAACACCAATTTAGGACTTTAAAGTTAAAAGCTGACAATATGTAAAATTTCATCCCATTTTTAATTAGTGCACCAAGGTTGATTTAAACACTAGTTTTTGAGTATTTTCGCTTTTGTCTTCTTTCGCACGTGTTCGGAATAGAGTTAACACTTCAATCCGGATATATATATATCCGGATTGATATTTTGTCAGTAAAACATAGTGATAGTGATTTAAATCCGGATTTATTTTATATCCGGATATATCCGGATATAAAACATAGTGAGGTATTAACTCTATATAGTTCGAAATTCATCAAAATTCGAACTCACTGATTGGCTGTTTCCGTTTTAGGAGTTAGTATTACCGGCACAAATAAGTAGTACATTGTTAAACAATTAATTATACTATTTTTTACTATATACTTTATATATATATATTTTTACGTACGTACTTACTTTGTCCAGTCAATCAGAAAATTTTACACTAATTTAGTTGATATTCGTATTACAAAAAAAAAAAAAAAAAAAAAAATCAAAATTTTTTAACTTTGTATTCAATGGATCTTAAAATTTTAATATTAGGTGCAGGTTATGGAACTCGCCTTCAGAGAGACATAAGTCAGGATACTAGTCAAAAATATTTAGATATTCTTGGGATTCCAAAAGCCTTATTACCAATAGGAGGTCAAGATGCTTTAATTACGCATTGGTTTCAAATATTTAAAACCGCTAATATTGACATTGCTTCCTCTGTTTACGTGGTAACCAATAACCCATCATATCAAAGC